CATGCCGCAGAACAGCCTGGGAAGACAGGCTTTTTCACACTGACTTCTTCCTAGCAGCAGATCCACTTAGGGGCTCATTCAGATACAGCCTCTGACCGAGGCTCCACCCCTGGACCTACTGAGTCAGAATTTTTACCAAGATGCCTGGGTGATTCACATGAACAGGCAAGAGTCCTTGTTCCAAAACCCTGATTCAGATTAAGAATTTTTGAGGCATTCTCTTTATTTTTATTTTAAACTTTTTGTTTGGAATTAATTTTAAAGTTAGGGAATATAGCCAGAATAGTACAGAGACTTCCAAATACCCTTTACTTCACTTTCCCCCATTCTCTCCCTCTTTTTTTTTTTTTTTTTTTTTTTTTTGAGATGGAGTTTTGCTCTTGTTGCACAGGCTGGAGTGCAATGGCACATTCTCGGCTCACCGCAACCTCCGACTCCTGTCTCAGCCTCCCATGTAGCTGGGATTACAGACATGTGCCACCATGTCCGGCTAATTTTTTGTATTTTTAGTAGAGACGGGGTTTCACCATGTTGGTCAGGATGGTCTCGATCTCTTCACCTTGTGATCCACCTGCCTCGGCCTCCCAAAGTGCTGGGATTACAGGTGTGAGCTGCCACGCCTGGCCTTCTCTCCCTCTTTTTCTTACCTCCCCCATCCCCTCATTCTGTTTGTCCCCACATCTTCAGTTAGATGCAGACATTTGTGCTCCCTTATTCAGGCCAAAGGAGCATATTTCCTGAACACAAGGACAGTCTCTTAAATAACCACAATACAATTATCACGTAGAAATTTAACATTGAAACAGTCATGATCCAGCAGCGTTGCTTCTCATTTTGTTGTCGCATCTCTAACACTTCCTCCTTGGGTTCTCAATGTTTGTCATGAGACAAACATGGATAGTTCTGTTTATCTCATGTGGATAATTCTGAAGATAGTTCTGAAGAGTAGGATGTTGTGATGGGTGATATAGCTTCCTTCCCTCAGGTGGGGTTTGACTCACAGTGACACTCAGGCTCACATTCTGCAGGAGAACCACACTGGCTTGTGCACTCCCAGTGCAGCACATCTAGAGCCATTGACAGTGGTGTGTCCTGCGTGGGTCATGTCAGCCCTGATCACTGGGACACGTGTGTGATTTATGTATAATTATTCCAGAGGTGTTTATTTTTTATATTAACATTCTTTTACTTTTCACCAAATTGATTACTTTAAATGCCCTCTGCCCTCTATGTTTTTGCTTTAAAAAAAAAGACTAGTCAAGGCTGAGTGTGGAGGCTCACACCTGTAATCCCAACACTTCGGGAGGCTGAGGTGGTTGAAACACTTGAGCTTAGGAGCTCCCAACCAGCCTGCCAACGTGGTGAAACCCCATCTCTACTAAAAATACAAAAAAAAAGTAGCTGGTCATGGTGGTGAATGGCTATAGTCTCAGCTACTCAGGGGACTGAGGCACAAAAATTGTTTGAACTTGGAAAACAGAGGTTGCAGTGACCCAAGATTGTACCACTGCACTTCAGCCTGAGCAACAGAGCAAGAGCATGTCTCAAAAGAAAAAAAGAAAATCATTCCTTCCCAGCCCTGTCGTGGGTGCCTGGCCCCAACACCCAGGGAAACCATCTGACAGTAACTGGTAGTTTTCCAGAAAGGTAGGCAGTTGCAAGATATGTTTTAAAAATTATTCTGTTCCTTTTTTGCTTTTCACATGGATACTAGTAATATAAAAGTCGTATGAGTTACTTTTCCTCTTTCTGCAAAAATTTTATTTTGTGGTCCTTTCCAATTATTATTTTTTTTTTTTTTTTGAGACGGAGTTTCACTCATGTTACCCAGGCTGGAGTGCAATGGCGCGATCTCGGCTCACCACAACCTCTGCCTCCTGGGTTCAGGCAATTCTCCTGCCTCAGCCTCCTGAGTAATTGGGATTACAGGCACGCACCACCATGCCCAGCTAATTTTTTTTATTTTTAGTAGAGACGGGGTTTCACCATGTTGACCAGGATGGTCTCGATCTCTTGACCTCGTGATCCACCCGCCTCGGCCTCCCAAAGTGCTGGGATTACAGGCTTGAGCCACCGCGCCCGGCCCTTTCCAATTATTTAAAGGACTGCTTTATTTTCCTGATTCCCTAGTATTATATGGCTATACCATCATTTTAAAAATGAAAATTAGGCCAGACACCATGGCTCGAATTGGTAATCCCAGCGCTGTGGGAGGCTGAGGTTGGAGAAGTGCTTGAGCCCAGGAGTTTGAGACCAGCTTGGGTAACAGCAAGACCCAGTCTCTACAAAAAATAAAAAATTAGCCAGACATGGTGGCTCACACATGTAGTCCCAGCTACTTGGGAGGCTGAGCAGGAGGATTGCTTGAGCCCAGGAGATTGAGGCTGCAGTGAGCTGTGATTGTGCCACTGCAGTCCAGCCTGGGCGACAGCACGAGACCCTGTCTAAAAGAAGATAAAGATAAAAATATAAATTAGTTTTTTGACACATCCACATGGTCCATGATTCAAAGTATATGAAAAATATCTCCCTGCCACACCTAACCCCAGAGTCCATGTCCCTCTTCAGAAGCAGCTAACCTGACCTCCCAGACACCCTGCACTTGGTGGCAATCTGGATTCCGCTACGCACAGGTGTTTTCCAGCAACAACACACTTTGGAGAGAATTCCTTCTCGGTACAGAGAGGCCTTCATTCGTTCTAATGCATGTAGGATCATCCCTGGTGAGGTGTTCTGTAGCTTACTTAATCAGCTATCTTGTTGATGTGTGTAAAGGTTTTCAGTGTTTATTGTATCAATGCTGCAGTGAAGCAGCTTTTATAGACTTCATGTTGCACATGTGCAAAATAAACTTTAGAATCTCTGCATTGAAGGTTGAGCATGTTGGTAACTTCATGGACATTGCCCAGCAGCCCACCATGGGAGAGGATGTGCAGCTGTCCCAGCACTGAGTAGGAAGGCCTGTTTTTCCACATCCGTGGCCACCCAGCGAGGCAGCTACCATTTGGATTCTGCCTAACAAGATAGGGGTGAGGTGGATCCAAGAGCAGAAATTACAAAGCAGTGTGTGCCCTGGAGCCTGTACCTGGGGTAGTCTGTCTCCTTTCTCCTCCTCCTATCTGTACATGTTGCTGTGGGCTCTTCCTTCAGCCCCAGCTTCCATCCCCACTTCCCTAATGCTGTGGTCTAAATGTTTTTGTGTTCTCCTCTCCACAAATTTCACATGTTGAAATGCTAGCCCCCAAGTTGCTGGCATTAAGAGGTCGGACATTAGGGAGATGATCAGGTTAGAAGGGCAAATCCCTCATCAATGGATTGGTGCCTTTATCAAGGAGGCCTCAGAGAGTGGCCCTGCCCCTTCCACCATGTGAGAACACAATGAAATGATGGCCATCTGTGGAGCGAGAAAGTGGGCCCTCACCAGAACCTGACCATGCTGGTATCAGATGGGGACTTCCTGGCCTCCAGAACTGTAAGACATACATTTGCTGTTTACGAGTCCCCAGTCTGCAGTATTCGGTTATAGCAGCCCAAATGGATTAAGACAGAAAATTGGCACCAATAATTTGGGGTGCTACTCTAACAAATACCTACAACGTGGAAGAATCTTGGGAATTAGGTAATGGGTAGAGGCAGGAAGGGATTGGAAGTACAAGCTAGAAAACCCTGTTTTGCCTTGAACAGACAATTTTTTTATTTTATTTTTTGAGATGGAGTCCTGCTCTGTCGCCCAGGCTGGAGTGCAGTGACACAATCTCTGTTCACTGCAGCCTCTGCCTCCTGGGCTCAAGTGAGTCTCCTGCTTCCGCCTCCTGAGTAGCTGGAATTACAAGCATGCTCCACCACACTGGCTAATTTATATATTTTTAACAGAGACAGAATTTTGCCACGTTAGCTACACTGGTCTCAAACTCCTGATCTCAGGTGACCCGCCAGCCTTGGCCTCCCAGAGTGCTGGGATAAAAGCATGAGCCATTGCACCCTGCCCATGAACAGACTATTATGGGTGATTCTGGTGAGGCGCCAAAAGAAAAGAGATTTGAAATCCTCAGCTTTTTTTTTTTTTTTTTTTTGAGACAGAGTCTCCGTCTATTGGCCAGGCTGGAGTGCAGTGGCGCAATCTCAGCTCACTGCAACCTCTGGTTCCTGGGGTTCAAGTGATTGTCCTGCAGTAGCTGGGATTACAGGCACCCGCCACCACGCCCAGCTAATTTTTGTATTTTTGGTAGAGATGAGGTTTCACCATCTTGGCCAGGCTGGCCTCAAACTCCTGACCCCAGGTGATCTGCCTGCCCTCGGCCTCCCAAAGTGCTGGAATTACAGATGTGAGCCACCGTGCCCAGCCTCACCACTATATTTTGAAGGCACATAACTTGTTTGGTTTCACAGGTTCACAACTGGAGAGAAATTTGTCTCAGGTAGAATTGTGCCTTGAGTCTCACCCATAACTGATTTAGATGTTATTTAGATGAGATGTTGAACTTCGGACTTTGAGTTGATGCTGGAATGAATTAAGACTTTGGGGGTTATTGGGATGAAATGAATTTGTTTTGCATGTCAAAAGGATATGAATCTAGGGGGAACCAGGGGCAGAATGCTATGGTTTGAGTGTTTATATCTCCCCAAAATTTGTGTTCAAATTGTAATCCCCAGATGATGGTATTAGGAAATGGAGCCTTTTGGGGAGATGATGAGGTGAAAAGGGCAAAGCCCTCATAAATGGGATTAGTGCCCTCATAAAAGAGGCCCCAGAGAACTCCCTTGCCCTTTCCATCATGTGAGGACAAAAGATGCCTGTCTTTGAACCAAGAAGTTGGCCCTCACCAGACACCCAACCTTCTGGTGCTTGGATCTGGATTTCCAGCCTCCAGAACTGTGAAAAACAGATTTCTGTTTTGTATAAGCTGCCCGTCTTGTGGTATTTTGTTATCACAGCCTGAATGGACTAAGATACCAGCTTGTCCCTGGACTGAGGCATCCCTGTTCTACTGTGGTTTCAGAACCGAGTTTCTCCATTCAAGGACATGATTTTATGCTTCTCTGAAGAGGATTGGTCCCTTCTAGATCCTGCCCAGACTGGCTTCTACGGAGAGTTCATCATTGGGGAGGATTGCGGGGTCTCAATGCCTCCAAGTAAGACATAACTTCCCCCAATACCTCAAGACCAGGGAACTGGGCAGGTGGGTTCTCACTTTGAGTAAGAGCCAACTTCCTCGCATAAGGTCAGGGAAGCAGGGGTTGCATCAGATCTCTCTGTTCACCCCCAACCTTAATGGGAGGTCATTTGCACAGAGCAACCCTACAGGCAGTTTGTCTGGTTGACCATCACCTGCCATCTCATCTCACCACATCAGGCTTACCAGGCTATTTGTCACACAGAACCAAATAGAACATGTGCTGTGTGTTCATTTCTCTTCCATTGCTCTTATCCTTTTGTCCCTTTATGTCTGCAATGGCAAGCCTCAGAGAGACAACTCAAGCCCATAGCTCCCCCCACCGAGTGTTCCCCCCACTGCCCCTGTGCTGCCCGCTCTGGCCTTTTCACTTCACCCTGATGGTGCCACGCCCGTTGGGCATCCCTCCACCTTCTCTCTTCTGGACCAGTCCTGGTTGCTGCAGGAGCAGATTACTAACAAACATGCACCTGCGTTTTTCTCTGAACAGATGAGCTAGCTGCCCAGCCAGATCTCTCCCAGGGAGAGGAGCATGAGCCACGCGTTCCAGAGTTGCAGGATCTCCAGGGGAAAGAAGTGCCCCAGGTCTCCTACTTGGGTGAGTAATGATTCCAGAACTAAGGGCACAGAGGAGGGTGAAGCGTTGCTGGCAGCAGAGGCGAGCCCACTCCCTGGCTTCTCTGCAGCCCCAGATTACCTTCTCGATTTCCCCAGACTCTGTCTGGGTCTTGCATGTCTTGCCTTGTCTTTGACTTTTCATAGAAAGAATGGGGATCTTAACTTTGCCGGGCGTTGGGATTGTACTCCCTCTGCCAAGGACTGGGGAATAATAGGAATGTCTTTCTCCTCTGCCTATAAGTAACATCTGGTTTGTGCTGATAAGACAGTGGTCCCTCCAGGAGTGAGGTCAGAGACTCATGACAAGCCTGGTTGCAGAGGAAGTGTCTCCTCTCAACTGGGCACTGAGCGCAGCCCTTTCAAATGCCTCACCTGTTCAGTCCTTCCATCTGCTTGGTACAGGGGTGTTGTGAGGACACTGAGGTGTGGGGAGGTGCTGGGGGTCAGCAGCATTTTCCAGCCCTCCTTCAGGCTGTGTCACCAACACTTGCACCCATGACCTCCATGCCATGGTGCTTCGAAGCATCTGTTCCTTCAGGAGAAAATAGCTTTGCACAGAATCATCAGCAGCCCTACGCCTCCTTCCCTTTGGGACCTGGAGCTGGCATGAAGCGGACAGGGTTTTGATGCATCATCCCCACCTGGAACAAGCGTTCAGAGCCTTGGCATGGCACGGATGGGTAGTCCTGTCCCATGTCTACCCCACAGGCTCTGCACAAGCTGTTTGTGCAGGCTGTGTGGAGTGTGCAGGAGCCTGTTGTGATAACTGTGGAAAACCCACCGCAGAAAGTGGAAATAAATGTGGGCTGGGGGAGGTACCTGTCTCTGGCCACAGAGTAGGTGGAGTAGAACCCAGATCTGCGTAGATTCTGTCTAGCTTCAGAGCTCATGTTCATGCAGTTGGCACATTTTGCCTTCAAGTTCATTCACTCAGCAAACACTGAGTGTCCACCCCCTGCCGGTCCCCAGGAGGGAGCCCAGGGCCACCCTCATAGCCTGCCGTCTATTCAGATAGCACCCTCTTAGTTAGTGCTGTAGGTGCCAGACAAATCAATTTTTCTATTTCCTCCTCTGGAAAGACTCTCCAAGTCTCCAGCCATTCCAGGTAGAAGAAAGAAGAAAACGTGATGAGCTGCAGGTGCCAGAGTTCCAGGCCTGCCCGCAGATGGCAGTACCTCAAAGCACCTGTCCAGGTAAAGAAGGGTCAGGGAGGTGTGGGGTGGCCTGTGTGTCTGTGTGTGCACATGTGTGTCTGTGGTGTGTGGCATGTGTATGTGCATGTGTGGCATGGGGGATGGTTGTGTTGAATGCCTGTGTGCGTGCATGCACATATGTGGTATATGTGTGTGGTGTGGCGTGTGTGGTGTAAATGTGCAGTGGTGAGGGCATGGAACAGTTAGGAATTGAACTCTTCAGGATCCCCACTGACCGCTGCTGTGGTGTTCTTAGATGCTTGTTCTCATTCTGTTTTGCTGGGGTTGTTCCCCAGCTCACTTTCAATCCCAGGCTCACCCTCCTTGCCTTTCCCAGGGGCTGGGGAGGGTGTGTCAAAGCAGGGTGCTGCTGTAGTTCTGTTGGTGATGTGGTGAGTGTTTTTCTTCTCTCAGCACGGATGGCCAGCATCCTGGCACAGAATCTTGGAATTGGGATTAAAGAGCTGGTTTCTGGTGTGCTGAAGCTTCACGGGACTCCTGGAAAGTGTATGTTCCATTTCTGCTTTCAGAGAAATAGCCACAGTGTAGACTGAGTCGTCTTGGTAAAGGTCACCACCTCCAGAAGCAGAGGCTAAAATGCTGCCGTCTTTCTTTCTTTTTTTTTTTTTTTTTTTTTTTGAGACAGTCTTACTCTGTCACCCAAGCTGGAGTGCAGGGGTGATATCTTGGCTTGCTGCAACCTCCGCCTCCCTGGTTTAAGCAATTCTCCTACCTCAGCCTCCCAAGTAGCTTGATTTACAGGCATGTGCTACCATGCCTGGCTAATTTTTTTGTTTCTTTTTAGTAGAGACTAGGGGGGTTTCACTATGCTGGTCAGGCTGGTTTGAACTCCTGACCTCGTGATCCACCCGCCTCAGCCTCCCAAAGTGCTAGGATTACAGGTCTGAGCCACTGCGCCCAGCCTATAAGTTCTTCTAAATACCAAACCCAAGTCTCTAATTCTTACCTGAACCCATGTCTCATTGTAGTTTTCTGCAGCGATGGAGACTGACTCACACACATTATCTGTTCTACCTGTGATGCTTTTGAAGGCAAGATTTGTGCCATTTCGACCCAGCTCCATGCATCTTGTGCTTGGCCCCCTTTCATGCGTGGACAAAGGGGATTTTCTAGCGTGGGAGATCTGAAAGGATGAGATCCTGCTCCACAAGCATTAATGCCCACTCCTGGTTTTCCAAGAAGCCCACCTCTGCATGCCAAGGGTGATGCATTCACTTGGGGCCCACTTGGAGTTCAGGTGCAAGCTGGATGTTTGTGATGCACTTTGAATCTTCTTCAGCTGCTTTCTGCCCATAACATGTCTCTCAGCCCCATTAACATACTTTTAGAAGGTGGATGGGTGTTCATTTACACATAGGAGTTTTCAACACCATTCTTCTCTTGCTGGACTCTGACACAGACTGCTCTGAAACAGCCAGAAGCAAAGGGCTGCTCCTGAGAAGGCGGAGAGATGATGGATTTCAAAGAGTAGGCACTGTTTTAGCTCCTGCCATCTCGCCTTCCTAAAAGGCTTTTCCCACCAGCTGATGCCCAGATAGCTGGTGACAGACCTGCTTCTCTATATCCATGCTCATGCAGGACACTCCCACATGTTCAGTCTGTGCCAATCAGACAATGCTACTGCATCTGCCACTGAGGTGGAATATCTCTTCTTGTTTATTGTGTTCTCTCTGTGAATTGCCTAGTTAGTATTCATTTATCCTTATTCATTTATTTTCACACTTGTTTTTTTTTTTTAATGTTACAAACATTGCACCAGGATTCAGTGATTTACATGATACCACGCATTGTATCTTCATGGCACCTTCTGAGATGGGTGCCATGATGTCTCTGTATTGAAGGTGGGGCACCCGAGAGCTGAAGTCATTTGCCCAGAGTTCAGTGCTCACAAGCTGTAGATGGTGGAGTGAAGATTTGAACTGAGGCCGGCACAGTGGCTCATGCCTGTAATCCCAGTACTTAGGGAGGCCGATGTGGGCAGATCACCTGAGGTTAGGAGTTTGAGACCAGCCTGGCCAACATGGCAAAACCCTGTCTCTACCAAAAATACAAAAATTAGCCAGACACAGTGGCACACACCTGTAGTCCCAGCTACTGAGGAGGCTCAGGCAGGAGAATCACTTGAATCCAGGAGATCAAGGCTGCATAACAGAGATCTCTGCATATGCAAGAGATCATAACACTGCACTCTAGCCTCAGCGACAGAGTGAGACTGTCTCAAAAAAAAAAAGAAAAAGAAACAAATGGCTGGGCGTGGTGGTTTACGCCTGTAATGCCAGCACATTGGGAGGCTTAGGCGAGCAGCTTGCCTAAGGTCAGGAGTTCAAGACCAGCCTAGCCAACATGATGAAATCTCAACTCTACTAAAAAATACAAAAGTTAGCCAGGTGTGGTGGTGGGCGCCTATAATCCCAGTTTCTCAGGAGGCAGAGGCAGGGAGAATTGCTTGAACTTAGCAGTCGGAGGTTGCAATGAGCTGAGATCGCAGATTGCATCACTGCACTCCAGGGTGGGTGACGGAGTGAGACTCCTTAAAAGATTTGAACTCAGGCTGTCAGGCTTCAGACCCATGCCTTTTACTCCACATTACTCAACCACAGTTTGCTTTTTCTGTGGATTCTTAGAAACTGAAAATAATGGGTCTGAATCCCTTGCCTCTGCTGTATTTATACATAGTTCTTCCATTTCCCTAAACTTTATGTGTCTTGCAACATGTAAATGTTTTGTTTTTTTAAAGATGGGGTCTCTTTATGTTACCCAGGCTGGTCTTGAACTCTTGGGCTCAAGCAATCTTCCTGCTTTGGCTTCCCAAGTAGCTGGGGAGACTGTAGGCGTGTGCCATCATGCCTGGCATGTTTTCTTACAGTTTTTAAATGTAGATAAACTTATTTGTCATCTTTTTGGTTTTATGTCTTGCTTAAGAAATCTTCTCCATTCTAACTTTACAAGAATATACAATAGTTTTTAATAATTCGTTTATCGTTTTGGTTTTTCACATCTAGCTTCTTAGCCTTCCCTGCTTTTCCCCTCAACCCCCTCAGCTCACAGGAAGTCCTTCATTCCTGGCCCACAGAACATCCTTGTTAAGGTGTCAGTCACGGACTTACCTGCATGCTGGATGCCTCTGCCACTCTGTCTGCAACAAACATTTGCAGCAGCCTGGCCGTTTGCTTGCTGTGTGGCCACAAGCCCTGGTCCCCATCTCCATTGGGCTCAATTCTGCTGAAACCTTGGGCAATTTCACTTCTCTGTCTTAAATTTTTGATTTGTAAAACAGAGATAATAGTTATGGCTGCCTTGTAGAGTTATTGTTAAGGATTAAATGGTTTAATGCATAAATTGGCACTTAGACCAATAGCTCTTTTTTTTTTTTCCAGGCAGAATCTCTTTGTCACCCAGGCTAGAGTACAGTGGTGCCATCTTGGCTCACTGTGACCTCCACTTCCCGGGTTCAAGCAATTCTCCTACCTCAGCCTCCTGAGTAGCTGGGATTACAGGCATGCGCCACCATGCCTGGCTAATTTTTGTGTTTTTAGTAAAGACAGTGTTCCATGTTGGCCAGGCTGGTCTCAAACTCCTGACTTCAGGTGATCCACCCACCTCGACCTCCCACAGTGCTGGGATTATAGGCGTGAGCGACCGCGCCTGGCCTAATAGCTCTTTTCTGTCTTCCCTAACCTTATCCTGATAGCTAATTCGGGGACAACACCCCCCACCTGTGGGTAACACTCCCCCCATGTGCACCGAGGAAGGAGAACTGTCCAGACCCCAGGCACAACTAGTGCCTGAAGAATATCTTAGTTTATAGTGTCATTGCTCAGCTGTTTCCTTTATATAATCCTGCATATATAATCATATATTAGTTTATAGAATTAGTGCTTGAAGTGTAACTTACTGCTCACATATATCTAGCATATTTAGTTCTATATAATCTTTCTATATAATCATATAGGTATTGTAGTTGGAGCTGTACTGACACATTTAGTGCTGATTTATATAATCCTTCTATATAGTCTTATAGTAGTTTGTAGTAGGAGGAATGCCTAGACCAGTCACAGAACAGAAGCAGTACATGGGAAAACAGCCAGATCAGGATGAAAACCAAAGATCCAGGCGGTGGCGTCCCTGTCTGAAAGGGCATACGCTGTATCGCAAGCTTGGAGCAAGTGCCTCTCCTCCTGATAAAGGAGTTGTAGCACCTTGCATCCAGTTCCTGTGGAAAGTAAGCCTCAGGCCTGAGATCCTGGAAGTAACCAAGGGAGAAGAACCCCTCTGGTGTGACCAGTCAGTCACAGCAGCTGTACACCCTGTCAGTCTTTTCTGCTTCTGGGCTAGCTCAAATCATCCTCCCATAAATATCTTAAGAGCACAAGTCTGTCAGCTCCCACTGCATTAAGCTTACAGTATCTTTCTATTAGAAAGCCTTTGAAGTCTCCAGCCCCCAGATAAGAAGTGTTGCGCACACCTGTTGCACACAGCCCACCTCCTTGCCTTGGTGACCTAATGGGGGTGGACCCCTTTTCTGTAAATGACCCTCTACTACTGTACATGGCACGGCCCCCTGCTGCACACGGCCCACCTCTCTGCCCAGGTGACATAATGGGGTGGTCCCTTCGCTTATGACTCATGTGATTATATATATGCCCTATCACTAAGCCTATAGATGATGACCTCACTCACGACCCTGCCCCCTGCTTGTACTTAATAAATACAGATGCTCTGGGGCATTGGGGGACCGCCGCTGATCTCCACTCAGGTGGTGTGACCCCCCAAGTCCAGATGCTCTTCACCAGTTCTTCAGTGTCCTGTCTCTTTACCTCTTGGATCTTGTACCTCAACACAGCATAAGGGATACCCCACGACCCTGTGGGGCCACCACAGCCCTACGCCCAACCATCACCATCTTAAACACACACACACACACACACATACACACACACACATCATTTTGTTTTTATTGCTGAACTGAGAACTCTGATGGTGCTTATTCTCTGGTATTTTGGGCAGGCTTCTAGCAGTCTCATCTACTTTCTGTCTTCAAGGAATTTTCTTCATATTGTGTTGATAGTACATAATAAGACTATCCTTGATTTATTTCCCCTTTTGTAGAAATTATGCATGGAATTTTGGTCATTTTAGCTGACTTGAGGTGATGTTGTCTGCTATGTGCTGTATTACTGTTAGGCCTTTCGTAACAAGTACGACAGACTGGGTGGCTCAAATAACAGGATTTTATTTTCTCACTATTTTGGAGGCAGCTAATAGAAGATGAAGGTGTCAGCAGAGTTGGTTTCTTCTGAGGCCTCTCTCCTTGGCTTGGAGATGGCCACCGCCTTGCTGTGTACTCATGTGGTCTAAGCTCTATATTTGTCCTGTCTTGATCTTCTCTTATTAGAACACCAGTCACATTGGACTGTGTGGAGCCAACCCTCCCATATGTCCTCATGTTGACTTAATTACTTCTTGAAATAGCCTGTCTTCAAATACAGTCACATTCTGAGGTCCTTAGGGTTAAGACTTCAATGGGAAATTTTGGGAGAACACAATTCATCCTGTAAGACCTCACCCTCGGAACCTTCAAAATTCATGTCCTTCCCACATGCAAAATCCATTCACCTCATCCCAGCAGCCCCCAAATTCTCAATCTATTTCAGCATCAACTGTAAGTCCAAAATATTATCTAAATATCAACATCTCAATTGGGTATGGGTGAGACTCAAAGTATGATTCATCCTGAGGCAAAATCCTTTCTCGCTATGAACCTGTGAAACCAGATGTTTTCTGCTTCCAAAATACAACTGTGAGAAAAGCATAGGATAGACCGTTCTCATTCTAGAAGAGAGAAATCCAAGGGTAATAGGTCCCAAGCAAGTCTTAAATCTAGCAGGTCAGGGCTAGGTGTGATGGCTCATACCTGTAGTCCCAGCACTTTGGGAGACTGAGGCAGGTGGATTGTCTGAGATGGGTGGATCACTTGAGCCCAGGAGTTTGAAACCAGCCTGGGCAACATAGTATGACCCCATCTCTACAAAAAATTTTTTAAACACACACAAACACAGAGTCTTTGTTATCTGGGCAACATTGTACGACCCCATCTCTACAATAAAATTTTTTAAAACACACACACACACACACACACACACACACACACACACACACACAGTCTCTGCTATCTGGGCGACATAGTACGACCCCATCTCTACAATAAAATTTTTACACACACACGCACACACACACACACACACACACACGTCTCTGTCATCTGGTGCTTTCCCTCCTATAGTACGTGGGTTCTTGGCAGACTCGGTACCCACTCCCAGACTCACATTCCCCTGACTCCCTTGTGACTGATTTGACAAATGGCCCCACTGCTTCCACTACTGCTCATCATCTCTCTGCTCTCCCTAGTCTCTGTGTCTTCTGCCCTGCGTCTGTTTGTCCAGCTTCTCCTGTCCTGAGCTTCTCTGACCCGCCAGGGCCCTCCTCCCCACAGCCATGAAGCCCAGACCAACAACATTCCTGCTAATATCTAGGAGGTCCTGGCACCACTACCCCTGACCTCTAGATTTGTGTTCCACATTTCGTAGAAGTGAGGACACAGGCCACCTGTATGATGGGCTCTGCTCTGTAGGCCAGGACCTTAGGCCGGGCTCTGCGCTGCCCACCCAGCCCCTCCCTATGGTTCTCCCTTCTCAACATCATAGACTCAGGATACATTGGGCCAGCTTCAGTCTAGGTTAGGAAGTCCAGAGCATGTTTACCCATAGCCACCTGTGGCCTCAGAAATGCAGTGCTACTGAGAGGGAGAAGCTGGACCCTGGGCAGTCTGGGACTGTTGAGCAGCCTAGCAAGGCTGAGTAGCACTTCAGCCCTCCTTCCTGGGACAGATCATCTTAGTTTATGTGTAGATGCAGCAACCAGTAGGTCATCAGCTTGCGTCCAGGGGCATCTAGGGCTGTGCGTGTCAGAAGTTTGGCAGTCCCTGGAGCATGCAAGTGCCAGCACAGGACATCAGCACCTTCCTGGAACTGCATGTGTAGGGTGCAGAGTCTTCCTGTCTCCCAGGTCCCCACTATCCTGATAGAGTTGTCCCCCATGCCTCGTTAAGTAAGAGATCTGTAAATGCTCAGGCTTTACACGGATAGAGACTCCAAGAGCTTGGGGGATGGGGTGGTCTTGGTGGTTAGAGAACAAAAGGGTTGGGTGTGGCAGGTAAGGGAAAATGGCTGGGAAGAGGGCGAGCAGGGAAAAAGGCACTCAGCATGCTCTGGACACAGCGTGGCCCATGCTGAAGATTTCCTCACAGGCTACACCGGTGGCCCCTGCAGGGCTGGCCGGGCCACCCCCATCACCAAGGAACATTGTAAAAATGTGGGTTTGCAAGCTCCAAGCTGAGGCTTCCAGCGCAGGGGCTGGGATGTGGCCTGCACAGCACCACTGACCTGCATGTTGCCTTCCTGTAGCTGGCGGCAACCCGCGATCTCTAGAGAACAGCCTGGACCAAGAAGTGACCATCGAGATCGTTCTCTCTAGCTCTGGGGACGAAGACTCCCAGCACGGCCCGTACTGCACAGAAGAGCGGAGGAGCCGCACAGAAGAGCCGAGGAGCCCCACAGAGAAGCAGCACAGCCTCCCCACCTCCCACCGGAGCAGCGCTGAGGCCGGGGGCGAGGTGCAGAGCTCCAAGAAGTCCTACGTGTGTCCAAACTGTGGGAAAATCTTTCGCTGGAGGGTCAACTTCATCCGGCACCTGAGGAGCCGCAGGGAGCAGGAGAAACCGCACGAGTGCTCGGTGTGCGGGGAGCTGTTCAGTGACAGCGAGGACCTGGACGGGCACCTGGAGAGCCACGAGGCCCAGAAGCCTTACCGGTGTGGTGCCTGCGGGAAGAGCTTCCGCCTCAACTCCCACCTGCTCTCCCACCGGCGGATACACCTGCAGCCGGACAGACTCCAGCCGGTGAAGAAGAGAGAGCAGGAGGCGTCCGAGGACGTGGGCGAGGGTCCCAACGACCCGCTGGAAAATGGCAAGGCCAAGCTGAGCTTCCAGTGCTGTGACTGTGGGAAGGCCTTCCAGCGGCACGACCACCTGGCTCGGCACCGCAGCCACTTCCACCTGAAGGACAAAGCCCGACCCTTTCAGTGTCGGTACTGCGTCAAGAGCTTCACGCAGAACTATGACCTCCTGCGCCACGAGCGCCTGCACATGAAGCGCCGTTCCAAGCAGGCTCTGAACTCCTATTGAGCCTGCCCGCCTGGTGCGGCCTCACCCTGGGCGGTGCTGCACACTCACATTGGTACTGATCAGCACCCCCACCCAGGACGCACCTTCCCCAGCATAGAGAGCACACTTCCCTCTTCCTGTCCTTTGCTCTCAGGTAGTGTCCAGCGTTCAGGTGGTGCCATGGTAGCACTCTCCCTCCCCCAGGTAATGAGAGAGTGGGAAAGTGAGTGTTCTCTTTCTGCTGTGCCAAAAAATGGGGATGTGCCACCACCAGGTTGGACATGCCAGGTGTTCTGTGTCTTAGAGACCCTTGCCCCATGCTCCCTAAGCTCGGGGAGTCAAACTGGGCTCCCCCATCGGGGCCGCGCCCTGGTCACCAACCAAACCTCAGTATCCTCCCTCCCTCCCTTCCCTGTCTGAATGCTGGGATCTGCTGCTGAAGCTCCAGGGTGCCTGCACTTCCACTCAGAAGCTGCTGGAGGGTGTTGGACTGGAGGAAGCAAGAAGGCAGTGTGGGAATGATGGGCTTAGTGGGGAGCAGGGCCAGGCATAGAGAGTACACCTCCCTCCTGTCTGAGCCAGACATGTCATGTCTGAGCCCCAGGTTTGTGGCCATCAGGTGGGCAGGAGCACCCCGCAGATCCAAGATGATCAGACAGCCCTTTCGGGCTTGGAGTCTGAGGCAGGGGTCTGCAGAGCTCCTTCTTGAGTTCACAGTCATCATACCTTTTAATTTGTCCCGGGGGCCAGTTACTAGTGATCTGGAGCATACCAAAAACAAAGCTTACGTTTTAATTTGTGTTACACACGTACCCCAAGATGTCTTTGTACCCTAAAGATGCTTGGCAAATGCCTGTGGGTTGGAAGCTGAGACATCATCATTTAAAAGGCACTTAAGTCCTTTCTTCCAGTCTGTACTGCCTAAGAATGTGGAGCTCAGCCCCCGGTGAGGGGTTCTGTCTGGGTGAGCCAAGCTCCAGAACAGAACCTTCCCTGGCATCACACTTTACGTATACATCAGCTTGGACTGCTGGTGTCAGTTTTCTAGGTATGTTTTAACACTGGCTGGTTTAGAACAGGAATGGATCCCCTCACAGTTCCGGGAGCTGCAAGTCCAAGATGACGCTGTCCTCGGAGCTGGCGCCTTCCAAGGGCTGTGAGGGAGAGGTGGCTTCGTGCTTTTGCTGGCAGTTGCCATTCCTTGGCGTGTGGAAGTGTCACAGTCTGCCTTCATCTCCACATGGCACTCTTGCTGTGTGCGACACCGGTCATATCGGATTAGAACCCATCCCACCAACTCCAGTATAACCTCATCTATGGCCGCAGCAACTGTTCACCAGTAAGGTCACATTCTGAGGTACTAGAGATTGGGACTTCAACATTGGAATTTGAAAGGGACAGAATTCAGCCCACGACTCCAGGTAAAACGTGAGGTATGCTGTCATTCCTACTTCACAGATGAGTCAATACAATCGAGCGAGCTTGCTCACAGTTCCATCGAAGGCAGAGTTCAGACCCAGGTGTTTGCATTCAGCACAGGTGTCCTCTGCATGGAAGAATCTTACTCAGTAGCCTTAAAGGCTGACAAATTCCCCTCCCTCCCTGCCTCCTGATTGGGGCCGGGCAGGCCAGCTGGAGCTTTGTCTTCACCTGGGGTTCTGGACTGAGGGTGACAGTAGGTAGTGAAACCTCAAGCAATTTAAAACATGGTATTCCTGAAAAACTGATTATGTTGGCTAGGGTCAGCATGAGAGGGCATCAAGCCTGTAGTGTGGCAGTGATTTAAACTGCAAGTGAGACCAGACGAGTATTTTGTACTCTATATGTCAGATCCTACCAACAGGCAATAAGCCAGGCAAAGCTCCTGGTGCTCCTTGTCACGTAATTTTCACATCAAGAAGCCTCTGGGCCAGGCACAGAGGCCTGTAATCCCAGCACTTTGGGAAGCCAAGGTGGGTGGATCGCCTAGCTCAGTTTGACACTAGCCTGGGCGACATGGCAAAATCCCATCTCTACCAAAAACACAAAAAATCAGCTGGGTGCGGTGGTACACATATGCAGTCCCAGCTACTGTGGAGGCTGAGGTGGGAGGATTGCTTCAGTCTGGGAGGCAGAGGTTGCAGTAATCCGAGATCACACCACTGCACAACAACCTGGGTGACGGAATGAGACCTGACTCAAAAATAATCAAAAAGCCTCAGCCCCAAACTCATGACAAGATTCTATAACCATAACTACTATTCTGTGTAGATGCACAGGAACAGTAAATGCAATAAAACCATTTGGTTATACTTTGGACAAGAAATAAGCTGTTGAGGCTTATAGTTTCTAAATAGTTTGTCTCTTGTATCAACCTATTTGGACAAGGGAGAAATTGGATTTTTTAAGGCCAAGGGAGGGGAAAATTCCAAGTGGAAGCCAGGCTCTGTGGGTTCACATTTACCCCACCTACCTGTGTGATCCTGCGTCTCCTGAGGATTCTCTCAGTAGCTCCGAGGCCTTGGGAAGGTTATTCACCTTCCTGCTTCAGACCTCTGACTCATAGAGGAACATTGTTCTACCTACCCGTGTGTTTTATGTGTAAAACCACATCATGAACAAGAAAGTGACGAAGGGAGTATGAGGGAACTAGAAACTACAGGGAGGCTGTCTCCTGAGTTCCTACCACCCATCCAGAGCCAGCCAAGGCATCTCAGGAAAGGGCAGGCCACATTGCCTCTGGATTTGGAAATCCCCTTGGGAAATGTAGCTGAACATTTTATCCCAGGTTTATCCCGTGCAGCAGGAGCAGCTAGGGGTTACCTGCTCTGAGGAGAGGTCTGACAACCCTCCAGCCCAACCAACACCTTCCACCACAGTGGTGTAGGGGGCTGCACCCAAGTGATCTTTGTCTCCCTTTTGGCCCCTCATACTTTCAGCCTCAGCTGAGAACAGCTGCCCCTCAGTTCTTCCCTCCCACCCCAGGGGCTGGGCAGCTGTCTGGAGCTATGTCTCCACCTTGCTCTGGAGGTTGAGACCCCATCTGAGCAACATCCTCCCTCTTCGTTCCTCTGATCCCTTGGCATTGCCACAAACCCACAGGTGCATAATAAAAACTCACTCGCTGAATCAGTATTCGTGTTAGGCTTTTCATTTAAAAAGTAAAAGGTGGCCAGGCATGGTGGCTCATTCCTGTAATCCCAACAGTTTGGGAGGCCAAGACGAGGATTGCTCGAGCTCAGGAGTTTGAGACCAGCCTGAGCAACATAGTGAGACCCCATCTGTTGGAAAAAAAAAAAAAAGAAAAATTAGCCTGCTGTAGTGGCACATTCCTGTAGCTACTTGGGAGGCTGAGGTGGGGGAAGATCCCTTGAACTTGGAGGCAGAGATTGCCGTGAATGGTGGAGCACCACTGTACTCCAGCCTGAGCAACAGAGCAAGACCCCACCTCAAAAAAAGGTAAAATGTGAATCACAGCCAAAAGGTGAAAATCTGATGTTTTCTAGGACCTGCAGGCTGTAGATAGTTCTGGTCACCTGATCTGGCCGCTCCCCAAAAGAAGGAATAAATAACTGTGTTTCATACACGGGGTAGATTGTACTCCTGGTCACACCACAACTTTAACCTAACGTTAGCCATTTTTCCGTTTTGTCTATCTCCCCAGCTCTTGCCTCAGAAGAAGAAACAAATAAAAGACGAGGCCACTGGTGGGAGGTCCCTATCAGTCCTAAATCATACTGTGGCACAAAGGAAAGAGAAGGCAGAGATCTTGTCCAAGTGACTCTTCTGTGAGATGGTTTCCCTTCCTCTGCCAAAAGCAGAGTTTGGACCAGACACAAGTACTTCTGCTAGCAGAGTTATGTGGGCGGTTCAGTGATGATTATAGCACTTCAGAAATTTCCTCAAACAAGCTCATTTTTTTTTCCTAAGAGTCGGGGGTCAACTATTTTGTGCAGGCTGGTCCTAAACTTCTGAGTTCCTCCCACCACGGCCTCCCAAAGTGCTGGGACTATAACTGTGAGCCACCACACCCAGCCTCCAGAAACAGTATTAACAACAAACACTGATACTGTTTGGTCTTAAAAGTGACGGTCAGTGCCCACTACTATTTCATGCAACAAGGCTAGAGGTTGGAAAACTTGCTTAGGGCATACTGGCCACAGGAAAAGGACTGTTGAGAGCACCACTGGAAGACCAGGTACTTCCAGCAGCCCAGACCCATATAGAGGGCAGCCAGCAGAATTTCAGTAGCCCAGCATCTAGGGGAGGGTCGGGAGGGATCAGGAGCTCATCAAGGGCAAAGCCTATGGGGCCCATTTATACCTGTTTTGCCCGTCAAATACCATTTGGGAACTTTATCTTCTCTTGAAACCATAGCCTATAACCAGGTCACCCTGATTAATGTACATATAATCACCAAAGTACAGAGAAGCCATAGAAATTCCCTGTGAGCATATGCAAAATTCTTAAGAACGTATGGGAAAGCAGATTCCTCAGGAATACATGCAAGTGGGATTACCTCACACATCTTGGCCACAGCCAAGAATATCACAGGCAGGCTGATAACCATGACAAAGGGCTGTCTTCTAATCATACAACCAACTGGCAGGAGAACCACCCTTTCCCCATCACCTGCTTTAAAAAAATGCCTTGCTGTTTGCATCTATCCTGGCCCATTTTACTGGTTTTGCTACACCTTGTCAAAACATAGTGAGGTTGGATACCTGCTGTTTTGTACTTTTTTTATGTGATCAGTCAAGTGTAGCCACAAGAGAAGACAAAGGAGAGTCTTAGGAAAAGACAAAGTTTATTCTGCTTACAGGTCCTAGAGACAGGAGGCCCAGCAGGCCATATAGGGCCACACAGGAAAGACACCAGGTGGCAGGAGGCAGAAGACACAAGCAAGGAGGAGGTTTGGGCCACTGTCTTTTTGGGGTTTCCTTGGACAGAGTCAAGGCAGGGCAAAGTGAATAGTTTAGGATTGATTAGTATGGAAAATTTCTGTGGGCTTTGGGTTACAGAGATGGTTCCTAATTGCCTGGCACCGGCCTCTGGGATGCTTAAGGCAGAGAGGAACATTGCCTCCCAGGGTGTCAGGTCAGATGCTGGAGGTTTGGGTCTGGATGGGCTAGTTTGCATATCAAAGGCATGCTCCTTGCTGGGCAAGGATTCACTGGCACAGAAACCTCAGATAAGGTAAGGAGGCCTGAGGACTAAACTCTGACCGGTGTTGTCTTAAATTTCCTCCTCACGGGCCTGGAGGAAGTCATTCCCAAGGGCCAGATCTGACATTCTCTTCTGCTGGTCACGAATTTTAAACCAAGCTGCTCTTCTGTAACCTATTACAAATCAGAAAATCTGTGAATTCCACCTATTACCTGTAAGCCTCCACTTCAAAGTATTGTGCCCTTTTGAGGCTAAACCAAGATATCATTTCAATGTATTGATTCACGAATTTGCCTGTAATTTCTGCTTGCCTAAAATTTACCCCTGCCTTTATGTTTCTCCTTTTTTTTCTTTTCTTTTTTAAATGACTAGTCAAATGCAGTAGTGAGAAGCGGGGGATGAGTAGAACAAGGCATTTGATGTGTAACTGACTGAGCAGTCCAGGTAACTCATTACCTTTGCACCAGCCACCTCGCCTTTAAAAACCCTTACTTGCAAGGCACTGTGGAAGACAGATACTCAGTGTGAGCTGCCTGATTCTCCTTGCTTGGCATCCTGCAAATAAACACCTTCCTTTCTCCTGACATAAATCTCAGTGTGGATATTTGGCCTGACTGCGCTGGATGAGTGGATGCCAGTTAGATTCAGTAACAGCCAGGTGTGCAGTGTTGGGGCTCAGAGATGGTAAGTGCAGACCTGCATTACAGTTGAGAAGAAGAGGTCAGGTGATTTCCAGTGCATTCCTTTCTCACCACTCTCTCTGCTGTTGACCACCAAGGGCAGAGACCTCTTTGACTGTGTCTCAGACAAACTGGTCCTGCAAAATGAGAGTTTGATGTGTATTGGACAGAGCTGCACCCCATCACTTCCGCCCTCCCAAAACAGAACTTCCTTCCAAGTGGGTGCTTGGAAACCAGCATGTTCAGGTGCTGGGAGAGCCCCCACTGCCCAGACGCCAGTCTCTGGTATCAACTAGGTATCCTGCAAACACCCTTTTTCCAAATAAGGTCACATCACAGGTCCTAGGGGAAAGATCTTCATGGGGGTGCCCCATTCAGACCACTACTGTTCTTTTAAGGGAGGATTTAAATCTCAAAATCAGGTAATCAATCGTGTTCTTCCACTCCAGGAAACCAAAGCTGCCCTCCATGTTCTGGTTTCCACAGTAAAGTGACACAACCTCAGGAAATAGTTATCTTCATGTAACCAACTCAAGTTCAGCTGCTCACAAGAAGCAAGGTGCGGTAAGAGAAAAGCAGCTTTATTGATGAAATGCTAGCAGATGGGAAATGCCAAGGCCTTAAAGAAACCATTTTTAAAGTTTGGGCTGAGGAAGGGGCTTAAGGAAGGGAAGCCTGATGTGAAAGGCATGCTGGAGTTGTTCAGGGTGCAGGGCTGTGTCTTCTGTGATGCCTACCTTGAGCACAGGCTGGCACCATCTTCACAGCTGCCATGGCCATGAAACTGAGCAACTTAGCAGCCAAGCCTCAAACCACGTTTTAAAACTCTTTTTTCCTTTTCCTTTTCGTCCTCAAACCTCCTAGTCTCAAGCTATAATAACTTCATTTTATTTATGTATTTATGAGACAGGATCGTGCCCTGTGCCCCAGACTGGAGTGCAGTGGCACAATCTGAGCTCACTGCAGCCTCCGCCTCCTGGGTTCAAGCAATTCTCATACCTCAGCCTCCCTGGTAGCTGGGATTACAAGCATATGCCACCATGCCCAGCTAATTTTTGTATTTTTTAGTAAAGATGGGGTTTTGCTATGTTGGCCAGGCTGGTCTCGAACCCCTGACCTCAAGTGATCTGCCCACCTTAGCCTCACAAAGTGCTGGGATTACAGACGTGAGCCATAATGCTGGGCCAATTCATTATTTTGGCTTCTTTCCACAAGCGGTGAGCAGCCGGAGCCTTTATATGATGCTTACAATCAGGCAATAGATTATCCATCTTGAGGCAATCTGTAAGTCGCGGAGAATTTCACAGCTGGACCTGCATGCCTGGTGTGTTTTCATCCCTGGAATTTTTTAACAAGCATATGGTTAGATAAAGGTGCATGGGGTAAAGAAGTATACAGTGGAAAAGGGAAGGGACTGGAGTTTCAGAGTACATTTCAAGGTTATATTTTAAGACTAAGGAAAAAAGTTTTTAGTTTGTTTCAGGGTTATATCTTGAGACTGGAAAGAAAGGAGGGAAGAAAAATGTTTTAAAATGTATTTGAAAGTCAACTACTGGCTCACATTCAGTAAAAATCTTGAGTGTTACCAGGTGTGGTGGCTCATGCCTGTAATCCCAGCACTTTGGGAGGCCGAGGCAGGCTAATCACTTGAGCACAGGAATTTGAGACCAGCCTGGGCAACATGACAAAATCCTGTTTCCACAAAAAATACGAAAATCAGCCAGGCGTGGTGGTGTGCACCTGTGGTTCCAGCTACTCAGGAGGCTCAGGCAGGAGGCTAACCTGAGCCAGGGAGGTCAAGGCTGCAGTGAACCTTGACCATGCCACTGTACTCCAGCCTGTGTGACAGTAAGACCTTGTCTAAAAACAAAAAAGAATCCAGAGTGCTAAAGCTAAAAGAGACACAATTAGCTGTCCAGAGCCCTCCTTTGCCCATTGAGGACAACTTGGTTAAATGTTTTCTCTGAGGTCACAGACAGGGTTTGGGCTGTACCCAGTTTCCTGCAGCCTCATTCCTGCCGTCGCCACGGCCGGCGAGGACACAGGCACAAGGACTCTAAGTGCCTTGCCCTCAGACTTCAGCAGAGCCGTGGCAAAGCTGCACAGTCCTCGGGGTGGCTTCAAGCTGGAGGAGGAATAAACCCGAGAGAGGCAGCCGCCTTCCTGTGAGGACAGGACACTCTGAGAATACTGAATAGGTGAGTAATGTTGTCATTGTTTTTGTCAGGATGGAGGGGGTGAGATTTTTCTCAGCTGGATTTTAAGCGGGAAGAAGCGAATTACTTTTCCTCATCTTACGGCTGGATGGGAAGAAATTTAGGAGGAAGGCCTGGCTGAAGCTGGGTGGTTCCTACCTGCCTGGGCCCCCTCACTAAGCCCCAAGGGAAGGTGGGGCCTGGAGCTGCTCTAGTGGTTGGGCCTTCCCCAGGCTGTGCTTGATCTCAGGGCGTGGCTGAAGATTGGACGTCTGCTGAGCCTCAGGCCTGGCAGTAATAGTGAAGTCAGGACACATCCAGAGAAGAAAACGACGGCTTTTAATAAGAAGAGCCTGGTCCGTTGAAATGGGGTGGGGAGAAGGGACTTCAGGAGAGGAGGACTTCCCTCACCTGGAGATGCCTGGGAGCCACGCTTGCCACCTGTGTCCTCTCCTTTGCCCAGTCAGCCATCGCAGCCACCAGCCCCGCTGGAAAGGGGTGCAGGAAAGTCCAGGACACTGTGGCTCTGCTGCCCTGTGACCCTCACACCCCCTCCTGTCTCCTCAGAGGGGCATCTCTCTTTGCAACCCCAAAGCATCACTTTTGGGACTGGTTAACTCCAAGCGTGCTGCAGCAGAGGCTCCGGGAGGGTCCAGGTCTGCATGGGGCGGTGCATCCTGCTCCCTCTTTGTATTGATAATGAATTGACTTCCCAGCATAAGTCATGGAAACACTCTTGCACCACTAACTTAGGGGTATTCAGCTCCCCATTCCAATCTCCAGTCTGCCTATCTGTTTTCTAGAAAGGCCTGCAAGTGCTGTGGGGAGACACAGGGGTGAGCCCTGCCCAGACTCCAGTCTCACCACGGTTGCGTGGCTCTGAGCAATTTCCTAGGAGTCTGTAGAGGTGTTTCTAGGGCAGTGCCCTGGGGCTGCCCAGGCAAAGGTGCAGCTGTGCCTGCAAGCCCTTAACCTGAGCTGGGGGGTGAAGGGGTGAGGGCCAGAGTGGCCAGTGATGCTTTTTCTTCAAGATTTTATCTTGCCTCAAACTGCCCTCCCTCTGGTAGATGATGACCAGGCCAGCAGAAAAAGACTCAGGAGTCTTCCTATGACTCGGAAGAACAGACTTGCAGTATTCACCATTTACCTCCCGTGGCAGCTGCTGAAATGTCAGGCCCTCTTGGACAAGCTTGGCACATAGCAGCTCACTGAATCTTCATGATCACCCTGCAAAGGAGGCACAATCATTATGCCCAGTTTACAGACAGAGTATAGAGTGGTAGAGGAAGTTGCTAGGGATACACAGCAGACCCAAGGTTTCAATTCAGGCAGCCTGTGTAGAGTCTGGGCATTTCAGAGTGTGCGGAGCTGCTATATACTAACAGAGTAATTAAAGCCATAAAGTGATGAACTCTCATAAATGATTTTTATATAGCCGCTGCGATAAGGGTTACAGATTAGGAATACATAAGAGAATGTAACAGAATTTTCCTGTAGTCTGTAGGGTCAGAGAAGCCTTCCAAGAGAAGTAACTTTGAAAGGAAGATGTGGAAGATGAAAAAAAGGCAGCACAGGAAAGGGAGCAGGCAGGGCTGTCCATGGCTGGCCGGACTTCAGGAGGACCCAGGAAGCTCTGGGAACACGGGACCGAGTGGCAGCAGATCTTGTTGGAATGAACCTTGAGAGCCTATCACAGCAGGGAGGTAGCGTAACCAGGTTTGTATTTTTACTTCATTTATTTTTTGAGACAGGGTCTCACTCTGTCATCCAGGCTGGAGTGCAGTGGCACCATCATAGCTCATTGCAGCCTTAAACTCCTGGGCTCAAGCTCTCCTCCTACCTCAGCCTCCCAAGTAGCTGGGACTACAGGCAAACTCCACCATGCCTGTATAGTTTTTAAATTTAGTTTTTGTAAAGACAAGTTTTCACTATGTTGCCCAGGCTGGTCTTGAACTCTTGGCATCAGCCTCCTAAAGTGCTGGGTTTACAGGCGTGAGCCACCTTGTTGGCCAAGGTTTGTATTTTTTTTTTTTTTTTTTTGAGACAGAGTTTCGCTCTTGTTACCCAGGCTGGAGTGCAGTGGTGCGATCTCGGCTCACCGCAACCTCCGCCTCCTGGGTTCAGGCAATTCTCCTGCCTCAGCCTCCTGAGTAGCTGGGATTACAGGCACGCGCCACCATGCCCAGCTAATTTTTTTGTATTTTTAGTAGAGACGGGGTTTCACCGTGTTGACCAGGATGGTCTCGATCTCTTGACCTCGTGATCCACCCGCCTCGGCCTCCCAAAGTGCTGGGATTACAGGCGTGAGCCACCGCGCCCGGCCAAGGTTTGTATTTTTAAAGGTGGCTATGCTGCAGTGGGGTGTAGAGGAGGGAAAAACGGGATACAGGAGAAGGATACTGGGGTGCAGGGAGCGACAGTGGAGTTCAAGGGAAAAGATAGTGGGATGCTGGGGAGACGGCAGCGCTGGGGGATTTAAGGTGAGTTTCAAGGCCACTGAGCTAGGACAGGTGAGAGTCCAGCATGAAGCAGTTTGGAAGCAACAGCTTGGGTGAAGAGAGGTACAGAGATTTGGGAAGTATTTGGGTGGCAAGCTGGGAGGCAAACTTCCAGGTTTCTGCATGAACACAGAGGCGATGTCTTGGGGAGGAAGGAGAATTGCAGCAGGAGTTCAGTGTGGAACATGCAGAGTGTAAGGGTAGCCACAGCAGAGGC